CAGCAAACAACAACAACAATAACAACAACAAAAACAACAACAGCAACAACAACAACTCCATCAGTTGATTTTACAAGACATGAGAAATCTGTAAATTGAGTGACTAGTTGCGTAAATGTCAAATACGGGCACATGCCGTCATTAGTAAAGCGAAAAAATGTCATCTAACTACGGTCTCGGTTCCCAAAGGCCATTCCCAATAGGGGGGATCTAAACATGTTCTTCTGCACCGTAGATTTGTAAACATTATGCTGATTTATCAATGTCATGCTCACACTGAGCCGGAACAACATAGGGGGAACTGCTGCTTTTTCTTTCCTCATCCTTACTATCGTCATTTTCCACTACTTCTTTTGTATGTTTTTCACTCTCTTGTGAACTACTATTTCCCAGGTGCCTTGATAGTATAAGCCGATTTTGTGCTGTTGGGGCTAGAGAGGTGAGCAGAGTAAGCCTGATTCCCCGTTTGGACTTCTCTGTTGAAATCCACCCTTTGACGCTCATACGACCTTTATCAGTTGCGAGCGACGTAAAACCTTACTAGATTCCAAAACTCGGTTCTCACATTTCCTTTGACTTAATTTTCAACCCTGCATCTCTCCTCGCAGACTCTGACGGTAAGAGCAATAAAACATCTTCTGATGACGAGGATGATGACGTGGCTGACGACGAGGGGATAATGCTGGAGCACGGCGACAACAAAGGTCAACAGCAACAGCAACAACAGCAGCAACCGCAACAGCAAAATATAAAGAAAACGGTGGCGCAGATAATGCGGGACAAGAAGAAACAGACACAGTTGACTTTGCAATGGTGAGTGTGATGGTTTAATAAAACAATAGTCGCAACTCTGTTTTCGTGAACATGACCGCCTGATTCCTACCTCCTGACTCTTCCCTCGCGTTACTGCCTATAGCACCCTGTCTTCTAAGTTCTTTCGTCTATGCTCCTTTTGTCCCCCATTCCCGATCCACTGGTTCATGAACTTCTTTCTCGTCCTCCTTGTGCTTCTCATCTTCTTAGTCCTCATTCTCGTCATCGTCGTCGTAGTCGTCGTAGCCGCCGTCCTCTCCCTCCTCCTCCTCTTCGTCCCAGTTTCTCCATCCTGTGCCCCACCTCACCCAAACCCACCCTTTCCTACTCCACACCACCCCACGCCACCCGTTTACCCTCACCCCAGCACCCTCTGCAACCCGTGCATTCCCACCCCACACGTTTTCTATACCCGTCTCTGGTTCATTTTTTTTGTTTAAAAACTCGCCGTTTTGGTATTTGCCCGAATAGAACGCTAAATAACAATTTAAAGGATTGAAATAATGCCTGTTGGCCCTTTTCCCTGTCTGTTCCAAAATCGTGGTTTGAAAAGATTACCAAGAAGCATTTCACTTTCTTCAAATTTCAATATCTATCTATCTATCTATCTATCTATCTATCTATCTATCTATCTATCTATCTAT